GCACCAACCAACGGCGCCGGCTCGGGCCCGAGGCCGCGCCCCGCCCCGCCCCCCGCTCGGGTCCCGTCGGGGCTCCACGACAACCGACCACGCCCGCGCTTTCTCCAGGCCCCGCCCCCACGCAGACAGAGCCCCACCCACACCGGGGGCCCGCCCCACGGCGGCGCAAGCCCCGCCCACGGGCCGCCTCGGTTGCTAGGCAACGGCGCGCGGCGTCCTGTCCGTCTCGGGGCGTCCGGCCTCGCGGGGCTGCGTTCCGGGGGGCGTGGACCGCGCGCCTCTGCCGGCCCAGGCCGCCTTCGCGACGCTGCGGGCCCTTTAAGAAAAGTAGGTCCGGCTTCGCGGGTGCGGCCGGGGCGGGGCTTGTGGCAGGCGTGTCCCTCCGCGGTGACGGCCGGGGACGCAGGCGCGGCGGAAGGCGGGAGCGGCCGGGAGCGCGGGAGCGCGGGAGCGCGGGGCTCAGGTGGGTCCGCGCGGCTGAGGGGGTCCGCGGGGCTCAGGTGGGTCGCGGGGCTGAGGCGGGACCCCAGGGCGCTCGGGGCCGAAGGCGGGCGGCGGGCAGGTGGCCGGCGTGGACCGGCTGGGGAGCGCATCCGCCCCTCCGGGTCCCCCGCCGCTCTGCGCCCCGCGGGTTGGTTAAGCCCCTCCCCGCTCCCAGGCCCCCGCCCCCCGCCCACGCGGGTCCGTGCACGGGCGCAGCGGGTCGGAGGGAGCGGGCGGTGGGCGCGGTGGGCGCGCGCGGGCCGGGTGGGCCGGGTGCTGCCTCCCGGAGCCCCGGCGCCCGCGGGGCTGCACTTCCTCTCCGGCCTCCGAGGGCCTGCGCCTGCAGCCGCGGGGTCTGGGGGCTGAGGGAGGCCCGGGTGCAGCCCCCCGAGTCCCCCCCCCAGCAGACCCCCGGGCCGCCCCCCCAGCTGCCCCCCCGGGCCGCCCCCACCCCAGCAGCCCCCCCCAGCAGCCCCCCGGGCCGCCCCCCCAGCAGCCCTCCTGGGCCGCCCCCCCCAGCAGCCCCCCGGGCCGCCCCCCCAGCAGCACCCCTGGGCCGCCCCCCCAGCAGACCCCCGGGCCGCCCCCCAGCAGACCCCCGGGCCGCCCCCCCAGCAGCCCCCCGGGCCGCCCCCCCAGCAGACCCCCCCCCCGCCATCCCAGGTTGCTGGGGTCTGTGTCTCTGGTCCCTGTCTGTGTCCCCGCCCCTGTCTCTGGTCCCTGTGTGTGTGTGTGTCTGTGTCCCCGCCCGTGTCCCTGGTCCCTGTCTGTGTCCCCGCCCGTGTCCCTGGTCCCTGTCTGTGTCTCCGTCCCTGTTCCTGGTCCCTGTCTGTGTCCCCGCCCGTGTCCCTGGTCCCCGTCCATGTCTCTGGTCCCTGTCCCTGGTCCCTGTCTGTGTCCCCGCCCGTGTCCCTGGTCCCTGTCTGTGTCCCCGCCCGTGTCCCTGGTCCCTGTCTGTGTCCCCGCCCGTGTCCCTGGTCCCTGTCTGTGTCCCTGCCTGTGTCCCTGGTCCCTGTCTGTGTCCCTGCCCGTGTCCCTGGTCCCTGTCTGTGTCCCCGCCCGTGTCCCTGGTCCCTGTCTGTGTCCCCGTCCCTGTCCCTGGTCCCCGTCCATGTCTCTGGTCCCTGTCCCTGGTCCCTGTCTGTGTCCCCGCCCGTGTCCCTGGTCCCTGTCTGTGTCCCCGCCCGTGTCCCTGGTCCCTGTCTGTGTCCCCGCCCGTGTCTCTGTGTCTGTCCCTGTCTGTGTCCCCGCCCGTGTCCCTGGTCCCTGTCTGTGTCCCCGCCCGTGTCCCTGTGTCCCTGTCTGTGTCCCCGCCCGTGTCCCTGTGTCCCTGGTCCCTGTCTGTGTCCCCGCCCGTGTCCCTGGTCCCTGTCTGTGTCCCTGTCTCTGGTCCCTGTCCCTGTGTCTGTGTCCCCGCCCGGGCTCCCGCCGCTCTCTGGGGCTGGGAGGGGAGGTGCTGGGCCCGGGAGCCGTGGACGTGGGTGACGTGGGCGTCGTGGGCGTCGTGGGTGTCCTGAGGCGGCTGGCTCCCAGGTGGCCGCGGGGCCTGGGCCTCGGTGGGTTTCCCGTCTGCGGGTTCCTCAGGGCTGACCCCCCCGCCAGCGGCCGCGTGGGGTGGGGCCGGGGAGCCCCCAGGCTGGCGGGCAGGGCAGGGGCTTTCCTGGGGGAGTCCTGTGCGTCCCGGCCGGGCTCAGTTCCTGTCCCCGCGGAGCCGGGGGGTCCCCACTTCCTCCTTCCTTGTCAGGTTAGAGGGAGGCACACGAGCTCCTCTCCCCGGTCCCCCGGGACCCCCGCGGCCGGACCCCAGGGCTGGGCTGTGCGGCTCGGGGCCCCCACCCTCGCTCTTAGAGATTTGAGATGCGGTTACAGAGGGAGGGAGGGAGGGGGAGAGAGAGGGCGAGAGGGAGGGAGAGAGAGAGGGAGGGAGGGAGAGGGAGGGGGAGGGAGGGAGAGAGAGAGAGAGAGAGAGAGGTCCTCCACCCGCTGGGTCACTCCCCAGATGGCCGCAGCGGCCAGGGCTGGGTCGATCAGGAGCCAGGAGCTCCGTGTGGGTCTCCCACGCGGGTGCAGGGCCCAGCACTGGGCCGTCCTCCACTGCTCTCCCAGGCCACAGCAGGGAGCTGGGTTGGAAGTGGAGCAGCCGGGACTTGAACCGGCGCCCATGTGGGAAGCCGGCTACGCCCCGGTGCGCCCCCGTCCCCGGTTTAGGACGGAGAAATGGGCACCGCGGCTGGTTGTTGCTGCTTGTGACGTCCAGTTTCATCCACTGCACGGCCCTCGGGGGTGGGGGCCTGGGCACTGCGGAGTGGACACGGGAGCCAGGCTGCGCCCGGCGTCCCCCCCAGTGACGTGGGGGTGGGAGGGGGTGGGCGCGGCCCCCGCTCAGCCCCTGCACCTTCCTACCTCCAGGCAGAAGCGGGAGCAGGGCGGGTGTCACGCGAGGGCTCCGTCCCCCGGGGCGGGTGGGAGCGCCCAGCGGAGCCCGGCCCGGGGACAGGACCTGGCCGGGCAGCTGGTGAGGGGCCGCCCTGAGCCGACACAGGGCTCCCCCTCGGGCAGCTCCCACCCCAGGGGGCACCAGGCCCTGTCTGGGGGCATCTGTGGTGGCCACGACTCCCTCGGGGGTGCTGCCGGCCCAGGGTGTGGAGAGGAGCCCCGGCTCGCCGTCTTGGGGCAGTGCAGGCGTCACTCAACCCGGGGCCGGGGTCGGCAGGGGCCGGGGTCAGCAGGGGCTGGGGTCAGCAGGGGCCGGGGGTCAGCAGGGGTCGGGGCCGGGGTCAGCGTGGGGGCCGGCGTCAGCAGGGGCCGGGGCCAGGGTCAGCGTGGGGGCTGGGGTCAGCAGGGGCTTGGGTCAGCAGGGGCTGGGGTCAGCAGGGGCCGGGGGTCAGCCGGGGCCGGGGTCAGCGGGGGCCGGGGTCGGCGGGGTCAGCAGGGGCCGGGGCCGGGGCCAGGGTCAGCAGGGGCCGGGGTCAGCAGGGGCTGGGGTCGGCGGGGGCTGGGGCCGGGGTCAATGTGGGGGCCGGGGTCAGCAGGGGCCGGGGCCGGGGTCAGTAGGGGCTGGGGCCAGGGTCAGCGTGGGGGTCGGGGTCAGCAGGGGTCAGGGTCAGCTGGGGCCGGGGTCAGCGTGGGGGCCGGGGTCAGCGTGGGGGCCGGGGCCGGGGCCGGGGTCAGCAGGGCCGGGGTCAGCCGGGGTTGGCGTGGGCCGGGGTCAGCATGGGGGCCGGGGCTGGGGTCAGCATGGGCTGGGGTCAGTGTGGGGGCCGGGGCTGGGGTCAGCAGGGGTCAGCCAGGGCCAGGGTCTCCGCTCCCGTGGGGCTGCCGTGAAGCCCGCCTTCTGCCGGTTCCACAGCCCGGGCCGCTCAGGGTGGGGGCTGGCGCCCAGGGGCTGTGGCCGTGGGAGCCCGGGGCGTGGCCCTCGGCCGTGGCAGGATGTGGCAGGCGCCGGAAGGAAGTGGGCGCCGGGCCGGGCGGGCGGCGCGGCCGGGAGGAACTGTGCCGAGCTTCCCGAGGGGCGGGGGTCTGTCGGGGGAGTTCGTCAGCTTGTCTGTCCTTGCTTCTAGAAGTTTCCACGCACCTGTGAGGAACCCAGCAGGAGCCAGCCGGGAGAGGAGTCCGAACCCCACGACGGTAACCGGGCCTCGGGGCGCAGGTGGGGAGGCGGCGGGGGCCCCACAGCAGGCGGCCGCGCCTGCCCGGTGCTGTGTGTGTGAGGACGAGCCCAGGAGGACCGCGGGCCCGGGCCCGGCCTGCGTGCTGTCCCTCACACCGGCCACACGGCCGCGCAGGCCCCTCCCCTGGCCTGGCCGGGTGAGGTCATCGCGGGGGCAGCCCCCAGACCACCCTGGAAAGGCCCGGAGTGTGGGGGGGGCGGCCTGCGCTGCTTGCCCCGTGGGAGTGTTTGCAGCTGGGCCGGCCCCCAGAAGTGAGGGGGGCCGCGTGTGCGCGGGGCCCACCCCGGCGAGGGCGTGGGGGCCGGGCGTGAGGGCCCTGCTCGGCCCGGCCCCAGTCAGGCACACCCCAGGAGGGGCCGGGGTGCGGGGGCAGGGCGCAGGATGGTGGCAGCCACCACCCCTGCAGGGCCAGGTCCCGCGCCCTCTCCGTCCCCTCTCTGCCCACGGCGGAGCCCAGAGGGGCCATTGTGGGCGGGGCAGGGTCTCACCCAGGTGCCGCCCCCTCTGATCTGTCAGCTGCTTGACAGACAGAGAACTCCCGCCCCCAGATGCCCAGGGCTGTGACCGGGAGAGGCCGGAGCCAGGACCCCCACAGGGCAGCACCTGGGTGTGGGGGGCCCCACAGGGCGGCACCTGGGCGTGGGGGACCCCCACAGGGCGGCACCTGGGCCTGGGGGACCCGAGCCGGAGCCAGGACCCCCACAGGGCGGCACCTGGGCGTGGGGGGCCCCACAGGGCGGCACCTGGGCCTGGGGGACCCGAGCCGGAGCCAGGACCCCCACAGGGCGGCACCTGGGCGTGGGGGGCCCCACAGGGCGGCACCTGGGCGTGGGGGACCCGAGCCGGAGCCAGGACCCCCACAGGGCGGCACCTGGGCGTGGGGGGGCCCAGCAGGGCTGGGGTCCAGGCGTTGAGCTGCGTGCTAACCGCCAGGCTAGACACCGTCACCTCTGTTCCCATCAGCGGTCTCCAGCCCGCCCCGTCTCTGGGGGCCACAAGTCCCTCCTGTGGGCGTCTCGGTGGAGCCCCCACGGCGCGGCTGTCCCCCCTCCGGGGCTTCTCCAGGCCCTGGCCTCGGAGCCGCCACCTGCAGTGCCCGCGGTGCTGCCCGGGCCTGGGCGCAGGGACCGTGCGTGGCCCCGTGCCAGGTGCGCGACGGCGGCGTGGGCCACGCAGACGCACCCTCGCCCTGCGCGGAGGTCCGGGTGTGGCAGGGCTGTCCCTCCCGGAGGCTCCTGGGAGATCCCCGCCCCGCCTTTGCCAGCTGTGGACGCTCGCGGCCCCAGACTCTGCCCCTCTGGCTCCTCCCAGGAGGGCCTGGAGACACCAGCGCCTCTCTCGGGTCCAGCCCCTGCACCCCATTGACGCCGGACCCCCGGTACTGTCGATGTTGGGGGCCGGGCCATTCCCCGAGGGGACCGCTCCGTCCACCGCGGGCTGTGAGCATGGGAGAGGGCATGGGGGCCCCACACCCACCCCGCGTGGCCACAGCTGCCGCCTTGGCCCAGCTCCGCCCTAGCGCCAGCCCGCTGGCCCCTCGCGGGGGGCGCCCGGCCCCCTGGCCATATGTGGTCTGGGTGGGCGCTGCCCCTCCTGCCTCCCCTCCCCCTCCCCCACTTCCCCTCTGGCACTTCCTCTTCTGAGGCCCCCACAGGTCCACGCTCCCTGGAGGTCTGTCTGGGGGCCACCTGCCGTCCTTCCTGCTGGGTCGCAGGGGTGGGCGTTTCAGTGGCTGGGGGGGGCGAGCAGGGCTGGACGTGGGTGGGCACCTGGGGGACGCGCAGGACCCGGCCGGGGGTGTGTGGGTGGCGTCCGTCACGGGCCGGGCCGGAAGCGGAGGCTTTGCCGCAGGTGTGGGGAAGTGAAGGTGGGGGCGCCGGGGGCACAGGACAGACACCAGAGTGCCCTCCTGAGCCGGCTCTGCCCGGAGGGTGTGGGCAGCACTGGCTCCCGGCCCCGGCTCGGGGGGCGGCCAGCAGGGCCTGGGCTGCAGCGCCCTGTCGCCCCTCCCGGGGACCAGGGCCCACCCTGCAGACCCCCCTGACCCCGAGACGCCCTGTCCACGTCAGGGTGAGGGCAAGGGCCTCCCACAGGCACCCGTGAGCGTCCCGCCTGCTGTCACTCCCCAGATGGCCACAGGAGCCAGGGCTGGGCCGGCCAGGAGCTCCGTGGGGGTCTCCCACGCGGGGGCAGGGCCCTGGGCCGTCCTCCCCTGCCCCCCCAGGCACAGCAGAGCTGGCTCAGAGGTGGAGCAGCCGGGACTCAGCCCGTGCCCGTATGGCGTGCCGGTGCCGTAAGCGGAGGCTTAGCCTGTACCCCGGCACCGGCCCCTCAAATACATTTTCTTGAAAGCCCCGGCCAGCACCCCAAATCCACCCCTGTGCTTGTGGGCCTGACGTCCCGACAGCCCCGGCCGCCCGGTCTGCACCGCTGGTCTCTCTGTGTCCCGGGTCCTCACTGCCCCCCCCCCCCGTCCCAGGTCATACCCGGGTCCTCACCTCCCTCCCCCCCACCCCACCCCCGTCCCAGGTCTGGCCCGGGTCCTCACCCCCCCCCCTCTTCCCAGGACTGGCCCGGGTCCTCACTGCCCACCCCTCATGTCCCAGGTCAGGCCCGGTCCTCACTGCCCCCCCCCCGTGTCCCAGGTCCGCGGGCCGCGTCCTCACCTCCCCCCCCCGTCCCCCCCCCAGGTCCGCGGGCCGGCGGCCGCCATGTCCAGCCCCTTCCTGAAGCAGGTCTTCGGCAAGGACAAGACCTTCCGCCCCAAGCGCAAGTTCGAGCCGGGCACGCAGCGCTTCGAGCTGCACAAGCGCGCGCAGGCGTCGCTGAACGCGGGGCTGGACCTGCGGCTGGCCGTGAAGCTGCCGCCCGGCGAGGACCTGCACGACTGGGTGGCCGTGCACGTGGTGGACTTCTTCAACCGCGTCAACCTGGTCTACGGCACGGTGAGCGACGGCTGCACCGAGCAGTCGTGCCCGGTCATGTCGGGCGGGCCCAGGTTCGAGTACCGCTGGCAGGACGAGCAGCGCTTCCGCAAGCCCACGGCGCTGTCGGCCCCGCGCTACGTGGGCCTGCTCATGGACTGGATCGAGGCGCAGATCAACGACGAGGAGCTGTTCCCCACGAGCGTGGGTGAGCGGTGGGCGGCGGGGCGGGGCCGGACAGGGGGCGGGGCCTGGTCAAGGGCGGGGAGAGAGAGGCCTGGCCAGGGGAGGGGAGGGGCCGTGGAGAGGCGGAGGCAGGCAGTGGAGGGGGCAGAGAGTGGAGAGAGAAGGGCCTGGTCAAGGGAGGGGCGGGGCCGGGCAGGGGGCGCGGCCTGGTCAAGGGAGGGGCGGGGCCTGGTCAAGGGAGGGGCCGGGCAGGGGGCGCGGCCTGGTCAAGGGAGGAGCGGAGCAGAGGGCGGGGCCTGGTCAAGGGAGGGGCGGGGCGGGCAGGGGGCGCGGCCTGGTCAAGGGAGGGGGCAGAGGATGGAGAGAGAGAGGCCTGGTCAAGGGAGGGGCGGGCAGGGGCGGGGCCTGGTCAAGGGGGAGTGAGGGCGGGGCCTGTGTAGGGAGGGGCGGAGCAGAGGGCGGGGAGAGAGAGGGGCGGGGCCTGGTCAAGGGAGGGCGGGGCCTGGCCAGGGAGGGGCGGGGCAGAAGGCGGGCCTGGTCAAGGGAGGGGCAGAGCAGAGGGCGGAGAGAGAGGCCTGGCCGGGGCGGGGCGAGGGCGGGGCCTGGCCAGGGAGGGGGCGGTGCAGAGGGCGGGCCTGGTGGAGGGAGGGCGGGGCGAGGGCGGGGCGGCAGGTGGGGAGAGTGCCTCCCCTGCCCCCGCGCGGCGCCGCACTGCCCTCACAGCGGTGGGGCCCCTCCCTGCCGGGGCGCCCCCTGAGCCGAGCCTCCCCCAGGCACGCCGTTCCCCAAGAACTTCCTGCAGGCCGTGCGGAAGATCCTGTCGCGCCTCTTCCGCGTGTTCGTGCACGTGTACATCCACCACTTCGACCGCATCGCGCACTTGGGCTCCGAGGCGCACGTCAACACCTGCTACAAGCACTTCTACTACTTCGTCACCGAGTTCGGCCTCATCGACACCAAGGAGCTGGAGCCGCTGGTGAGGGGGCGGGGTCACGGGGGGCGGGGTCACGGGGAGCTGGAGCCGCTGGTGAGGGGGCGGGGTCACGGGGAGGGGGCGGGGTCACGGGAGGTGGAGTCGCGGGGAGGCGGAGACCTGGGGAGGGGGAGTCACGGGGAGGCGGAGTCGTGGGGAGGCGGAGTCGCGGGGAGGGGGCGGTGCGGGAGGTGGAGACCTGGGGAGGCGGAGACCTGGGGAGGCGGGGTCACGGGAGGCGGAGTCGCGGGGAGGCGGAGTCACGGGGAGGAGTAGACCTGGGGAGCTGGAGCCGCTGGTGAGGCGCTGGCGGGGGCAGGGGGGCGGGGTCACGGGGAGGGGGCAGCGCGGGGAGGGGGCGGCGCGGGGAGGGGGCGGTGCGGGAGGCGGAGACCTGGGGAGGCGGGGTCACGGGGAGGCGGGGTCACGGGAGGCGGAGTCGCGGGGAGGTGGAGTCGTGGGGAGGGGAGACGCGGGGAGGCGGAGTCGGGAGCCGCCCCGCACTGGGCGGCCCCGCCCCCGTTAGCTCGGAGCGCCCGCACGGCCGGCTCCCACCTCCGCCAGCTCCGGAACCGCCGGCACGCTCGGGCCCGTCTGTCCTGCGCTGTCCCCGCCCGCGCCCGCCTGCCCCGGGCTCCCGCGTCTGAGCGCCCCTCGCTCTCCACAGAAAGAGATGACCGCGCGGATGTGCCACTGAGCCCGCCGAGCCCACCGTGGGAGGGAGGCCCCGACGTGGACGCCAGCGCCGGGCTCCGGCCGCGAGGACCGCTGCTCCCGGAGGTGCGACCGGACCCGGCTGCCTCAGCCAGCGTGTCCGCGGATTCCTGCAGCCCGCCCGCCGCGTGACGCCGGAGCCGGGGGGGCCCGCCCCCCAGGAAGTGCCGTGCCTGCTGTGGGCGCCCCCCAGGGACCCACCAAGTGCCATGCACACTGCCCCGTCCGCACCGCCCGCCCCAAGCCCGGCGCCTTCCGGGAACCGCGGGCTCAGCTCCCGGGACGCCGGCAGCGCGGGGCCGATGACCGGGTGTGCGTCGGGAGAGGGCCTGGGGCTGGGGCCGCCCCTGCCTCGCCCCCCCCCCCAGACATCAGAATAAACTGCCCTCCCCCGCTGTGGCTCCCGTGGTCTGCGCCTGCGCCGGCTGACCCCCCCCCCCCCCCGCACTTTCCCACACAGGCCCCGGGAGGGAGGGGCCCGGGCGGCGGTGTCTGTCCCCCCCCCCCCCCCCGCTCTGCCAAGTGGGATTTTTTAAAAGATTTATTTGTTTGTTTGTTTGTTTATTTATTTATCTGAAAGAGGGAGAGAGAGGGAAAGGTCCTCCATCCGCTGGGTCACTCCCCAGATGGCCGCAGCAGCCGGAGCTGCGCCAATCCGGAGCCAGGAGCTCCATCCGGGTCTCCCACGCAGGTGCAGGGCCCCAAGGACTGGGGCCATCGTCCACTGCTCTCCCAGGCCACAGCAGGGAGCTGGACCAGAAGTGGAGCAGCCGGGACTCGAACCTGCGTCCACGTGGGATGCAGGCAGTGCAGGCGGGGGCCCCGGCACTGGAGCCCGGGCTCCCCCATGTGGGCCGCCTCGCCCGGTGCTGTCACTGTGCCCCACGCCAGCCACGGGCAGCTGCGCCGTCCAGCGCTCCCAGCTCCACGGCCTTACAGGGACAGAATTTACCGTTTTTTTTTTTATTTTTTGGATGTGAAATGTGGGATTCGGGGGCGGCGCTGTGGCACGCAGCTTTAACCGCCTGCCGCGCCGGCATCCCACGTGGGCGCCCGCTCCACTTGGGGTCCGGCTACCCGCCGATGGCCTGGGAGGGCAGCGGAGGGCGGCCCGGTGCTCGGCCCGCGCACGGGGGAGGCCTGGGAGAAGCTCCCGGCCCCGGCGGCCACTCTTCTCTGCATCCTCTCTGCCTTTCAGATAATCTTTTAGAAATTACTAAGAAGAAACGGGCCGGAGGACAGCCTCGGGGGCGGTCGGCTCTGACCGGGGTGGCCCTGAGCGCAGCCCCCGCCGCCCACCTGGGCGCGGGTCCCCGCCACGCGCCGCCGTCCGCCAGTAGAGGGCGCAGCCGTGGGAAAGTGGCCAGGCGCCCAGCTCGTGGGCAGCAGAGGGAAGGGAGAGCCGGGTCCTCTGACCTCTAACCTCTGACCTTCTGCGGTGTTTGCTGCGGACGGAGCGCTCCCATCTGCGGCCTGCGGCCTGCGGCGGCGGGGGTCGGGGGGCTGTTGCCCAAGCCGGGAGCTGGGCGCTGCAGCCGGGACTCGCGGGGGCCCGACCACTCGGCCGCCGCTGCCTCCCGGGTCGACACCAGCAGAAGCCGGGGTCCGGGGCTGAGACCTGCTCCCCGCCAAGAAGCGGGTGGCGCGTGGAAAAGTACCCCCCCAGGCCGCTCGTGGCAGAGCTGTGCAGTGACCACACGGCCACTGGCCGGGGAGCTGGGCCGGCTCCGGGCCACACGGGAGGGGTCCCCACTGCAGCTCACACCCCCAGCCCCGCCTTCCCCCGATGGTGACACGGCCCGCGGGGTTACTGGGCGGGGCTGCCCTCAGCTCCCGTGGGAGCACCCACGCTGCGTCCCCACCCGCTCCCGCACACACCGACACACGGCGGACTCACGCCGGCTCTTTCTCTGGGTGGGCTGCTGCGTACCTGGGCCCACCCACTGTGGCAGCCAGATGTGGCCCCGTGGCCCCTGTCCTCCCTGGGCCACGGGCCCTGTGTCACCTGGATGCCATGCTCTGTCCCCGTGGGGTCGTCACGAGCGCGTGGGGGGTCAGGGGCTCGGCTGTGGCTTTTAGGATTTGTCCTCACCCCAAGAAGCGGCCCCGCCCCCAGGAGCAGCGCCCCCCCGCAGCCCCCGGCCCCTGGCGAGCAGCCCTCCCCCCTTCCTGCCTGTGGACGCCCCTGTCCTGGCCGCTTCCTGTTGGTGGAGCCCCACGCTGTGTGCATGGACCGAACGAGCCATCCGGGGTCCCCCACGCCGCGGCCCCGGTCCTTACGGGCCAGGACACAGCCCAGGGTCACTGTCACCTGCCGTGGCCGCGGGGCTGACTGCCCAGTGAGGCCACAGAACGGGGTCCCGTCCCCGCCTCAGGGCCCGGCCCTCGTCAGGTGGACGCAGGACACCGGGGCCCAGGGAACCAGCACCGGCTGGGGGGGCCCTGAGCCGGCTTCCGCGGGGCTGGGGCCAAGGCGTCTTCCAGAACCTTCTGCCCCCACACGGAAGCTGTGTCCCGGGAGGCACTCGCTGCCCTGCCCCCTCCCTGTCTGCGGGTCTGGGGTCCACTCTCCAGCCCCGCCCCCTCCCTGTCTGCGGGTCTGGGGTCCACTCTCCAGCCCCGCCCCCTCCCTGTCTGCGGGTCTGGGGTCCACTCTCCAGCCCCGCCCCCTCCCTGTCTGTGGGTCTGGGATCCACTCTCCAGCCCCGCCCCCTCCCTGTCTGTGGGTCTGGGGTCCACTCTCCAGCCCCGCCCCCTCCCTGTCTGTGGGTCTGGGGTCCACTCTCCAGCCCCGCCCCCTCCCTGTCTGTGGGTCTGGGGTCCACTCTCCAGCCCTGCCCCCTCCCTGTGGGTCTGGGGTCCACTCTCCAGCCCCGCCCCCTCCCTGTCTGTGGGTCTGGGGTCCACTCTCCAGCCCCGCCCCCTCCCTGTCTGCGGGTCTGGGGTCCACTCTCCAGCCCCGCCCCCTCCCTGTCTGCGGGTCTGGGGTCCACTCTCCAGCCCCGCCCCCTTCCTGTCTGGGGTCTCAGGGTCCCTGCATGGGGGGGGGGCCGGCAGGGGACAGGTAGGACGCCGGGGGCCCAGGGGGGCTTCTGGCCAGAGCACGGCCCTGGGGGAGGCAGGTGCCCGAGGTGCGGGTGCCAGGAAGGGAGGCTACAGTCACTGCAGGCCCGGGTGGGCAGGGAGGGGAGCGTCGCCCCCCCACGCCCCCTGGATCCAGCCCAGCAGGTCTGGGGGTCCCGCCAATGTCACCTGGGGGGCTGGCGCTGAGGCCTGGGCTGGAAGGAGAGGACGGCGGCGTGGGGCCCCTGGGGAGGACAAGAGCTGAGCGAGCCAAAGGAACCACCAGGGAAAAAATCAAAGTTAAAGGCAAGTGTAGGGCTTGGAACGCCCCCCGAGGGACTCCGGGGCCAGGCCCGGGTTCCCCTGGGAGGGCGGGCAGACGGACGGGCGCAGGGTCCGCGCGCCAAGCCACCCTCCCCGGCACGAGCCTGGAACGCTGGCTGCAGGGTTGGGACGTGGCAGGGGTCAGCAGGTGAGAGGTCTGGGCGGGGCCGCCTGGGAGTGGACAGCAGCGCTCGCTGGGGCGGGACTTGTGCTGGGGCCAGTGCCCTGGGCCCAGTCCTCGGGGGCCTGTCCCTCCGACCCCCGGCAGGTGCGGGGGTACAGAAGATTCTTGGCAAGTCCCCTAGGAAACTGAGTCTCCCCAGAGTCACACAGCCGGGCAGAAGAAGAGACAGGGCTCGGCACGGCTCGCCGACCCCAACCTCAGGTCGGCGCCCTCTGCCCTCGGCCAGCAGCGCCGGTGACCCCAGACCCAGGCCTCTGCTGACAACCTGGAGGTAAGCAATGCACGGCCCCTTTAAGAGAGGCGCGGCCCTCCTCACGCGGCCCCGACAACAACAGTCCCATTGGCTGGAGCGCGGGCCCTGGCCACGCCCTTCTCGAGCGGCCTCTGGGATCCTATTGGTCCGTCATTCTGGCCTCGCCTCACGCCCTCAGAGCCCGGGCTCGGCGCCAGGCTCGTGACGCACACTCGTTACCTCGGCAACCGCCCCCGCCCCCGGGGCCAGGGTTCCGGGTCCGCCGGCCAGGGCGCAGGCGCGAGGTCCCTGAGGGCTCGGGTGCCCAGGGCGCAGGCGCGCGGTCCCTGATCCGCGACCGCAGCCTGCGGTGGCCCCCGGGTCCCTCGTGCGCCCGTCCTGGCCGGGGTGGAGGGCGACGGGCGGCCCAGAGGCCCGACAGCCCGGGAGAGGAGGCGCCCTGGGGTCTCTGGGGGGAGCCGGCGCGGCGTGGGCTTGGGCCTGTTGCCCAGGGTGGCCCGCGTGCCTGTCGTCCGGGCCTGGACACTGGGCGCCCGGGTTCCTCGGGGCCTGGTCGCGGTCACTGGGGCAGGCTGGTGACCTTTGGCCGTGGTGCTGCCCCGACTAAGGAGGCCCCACAGCTGCCCAGCACTGGCAGCTCCTGGCCACGCCCCTCCCTCCCCGCCCCCAGCGAGGACAGCGCGGCCCTGGCCCTGGCCCTGGCCCTGGCCGAGCCGCTGGGATGTGGCCTGTGAGTCAGCCAGCAGGACGGGACTCTTACGGCCACTTGCATCAGATGTCCCTGCCAGCGGGGAGGGAGGCCACGCCCCTGCCGAGCCCCTTGCTTATCAGGGGCCCTAGTGGGATGGGGGGGCAGGGGCCGGGCTGCACCTGGTCCCACTGGCCCTGGGCCCTGGGCGCTCCTCCCGCACCAGGTCTGAGCCCTGCCCGAGGCTCGGGAGCCGGCTCCGAGCAGGGCACGGGCTGGGGAGGGCGCTCAGGGTCACGCCCCCACGCCTCCGTCTCCCCGCCCTGCTTCTGCACACGCGAGACGCCAGCTTTGCTGGGCCGCTGTGACCCCTGGTGGGGCCGGCGCACACGGTGCCGGTAGCCCAGAGCAGTCACACCGGGGTCAGTTTGAAAGGCAGAGAGAGACTGACAGGGCTGCCCCGCGCTGGGTCACTCCCCAGGCGCCCGCAGCAGCCAGGGCTGGGCCAGGCCGGAGCTGGGGGCTCCATCTGGGTCTCCCACCGTGGTGACGGAGCCCCCGGGGTCCCAGCCAGACCCAAGGAGGAGAGGTCGAGTGAGCCCCGCCCCCCCAGCTCAAAATCAAAGGCCCAGGGCCAGGGAGGGGCCGGAGGGCCAGGAGGTCTCTCTGAGCAGCAGGTGCTGAGGCTGGCCACGCCCCTCCAGGCCCGGGCAGGGTGGGAGGGGTGGGGTGGGACTAGGACCTGCGCCTCTGGGAGGAGGCCGGGGGCACGGCCATCCCTGGGGTAGGCCCTGGGCCGATGCTGGAGCCCCCAGGGGCGGCTGTGCGTGGGGACCCCTTTCCAGGTGCTGTGAGCCCTGGCCTGTGGGGTGGGACAGCAGGTGCTGGCTGGGGGCTCCCCGCGCCTTCAACTGGCGAAGACTAGTGGCGGCCCGGGGCTGAGAGGGGCCCTGAGCCCCCGCGCCTGCTCACCCAGGCCCCACCCCTCGCCCGCCCCTACACCCCATCTGCAAGGCCGGGGTGGGCGGGGTCAAGGGGCCCGGTCCTGACACCTGCTCCCCAGGCTGCAGGCCCGGGGCCACCCGAGTCGGAAGCAATGGGCCTGAGCCTGGGTGGGGGGAACTGTCCCCCGCCCTGCTGAGACCCCAGGACAGGAAGCCAGGACTGAGCCTAAAAGGGGGCCTGGAGGGTTCCTGGGGAGAGACGGCCGCCCCGGGAGACCGGTCAGGGCAGGTGCCCGGCCGCGTGCCGCTTCAGGTGTGGGGTGTCCGCGGCCAGGCTGGGGTCCGGCGGCCGCAGGGGCGGGAGGGAAGCGAGGGAAGGAAGAGGGTGGAGGGCGGGGGCGAGCCAGGACCTGCGCCCCGCCCCGCTTCCTGTTTGTCCGTTTTGGGGCCAGCACCTCCCGGGAGCTCCTCCCGCCACAGGTCCCTCTCCCAGGCTGCCCCGCAGACCCCCTGCGGGGGTCTCCACGGGTCCGGCGTCCATGCACCCATGGACAACAAGGGTGTGTGCCCGCGTGTGCCCGGGACGTGCCCTGGAGCCCCTCCCAGCCCCCACACCAATGCCTGCCCCCGCGTCCTGACACACGGGGCTTGGCTGCCCCCCGCCCGGGCGCAAGCAGAGGACTCCGCGATTCAGGGGAGCCCTGTGCTGTCGCGACCGGGGGTGCTCCTGGCGTGGGGTGGGAGGGGCCAGGACGAAGCCAGGAGCTCCACCCGGGGACCCCCGTGGGCGCAGGGGCCATCAGCAGGGGGCGGCATCGGAAGCCGAGCAGCCGGGACTGGAACCAGCGCCCAGCACACCATGACGGGCCGCGGGGACAGACAGGGAGGGGGCTGGGAGGATGTGGCCCCCGGGCCAGGGCTGCGGCCATGACCTCAAACGTGGCTCAGAGAATGCTTGTGTGCAGCCCCCCCCACCTCCAGCTCACAGGCCTCCACACAGCACGCGTCTGCACATGCGCGTCCGGCCAGCACCCGCCCACGCCCTCGCGGTGTGGCTGTCCCCGGGGCGAGGCAGCGGCCCCACTGCACTGACCCTTGCACGCAGACCCCCAAGGGACCAGCGCAGCAGGGAGGGGGAGGGGAGGACACGGGAGGGAGGGGTCACTCCCGGGCAGGGCCAGCAGCACTGACCACCCCCTCACACACACACCACCAACGGCCCCAGGGTGGACGAGGCCCCTGTGGCCTGGGGGGAGGGGCAGCAGGTGCGTGGAGGCCGCTCCTGTGGAGTGGAAGGCGTTCACCAGTATAGGGATGCACCATGGAAGATTCTGGAAGGGTGGGCGGGGCGGCAGCCGAGGGGCGGGGCTCCCCGTCTTGGAAGTCAGGGTTTGCTGGGGTGGGATGGTCGCCCCCTCCCTGGCCCCCCGCGCCCACCCCCAGGGCTCCTGCCCAGCCAGGCTGCCAGGCCCCGGGCAGCTGAGCCAGATTCGGGGGACCGGCAGTGGGAGCCGTGGCAGGTGCAGAGCGAGGCGTCGCTGAGAGAGGGAGCAGATCCAGGACCTTGCCGACGGGCCGGGGGACGGCCAGAAAGGGGACCATATGGCAGGAGCCGGCTCAGCGCCAAGGTCCCGCCGCCGCCAGGGCCAGGAGGCCAGGGGAGGTGGACCACGGACCCGAGCGCTGAGCGCCGCACTGCGCAGGCGCGCGCCAGGAAGTCGGGCCCAGCCTGCCCCCAGGACGCGCAGCCGCACTCGACACCTGGGCAGGCCCCGCCCCTCGCGTCTCACCCCTTCCCTCGCGGGGGCGTGGCCGAGGCGTGTCCTGCGTCGGGGGGCGGGACCTGGCCGGGGTCGGGCCTATAAAAGCGGCGGCGGCGGCGGCGCGCCCGGCTCCTCTCGGCGGCGGCGGCCCAGACGGGGGAGTCCCGCGGTGGCGGCGGTGGCGGCGCTGTTCCCCGCGCGGTCCGCGGAGCGGGGTCCGGGCTGCGCGACGTCGGGCGGCGGCGGCGGCGGCGGCGGCACTGCGGCCCCGGCCCGAGCCCGACTCCGGTGAGTGCGGCCCGCGGGCCCCGGGGCCCCCGACCCGGGCGCGGGCAGAGGGGCCCGGCGGAGCCCTCGCCGCCCCCGGCTGGCCGGGCGCCGCCGCTCACCGCGTCCCTTTGTCTGCTCCCGCCCTCAGGGTCCGGTCCCCGGCCGCCCCCCGCCCGCGGGCCGCCCCCCGGGCCCTGCGTCCCCTCCCCCGCCGGCGGGGCCCGGACAGAAGATGGTGCACCGGAAAACAGCCGACGTCCAGCGCTTCCACCGTTCGTTCAAGGTGAGGCCGGGGTCGGCCCCGACGCGGAGGGCGCCGGTGTGTGCGAGGGGGGGTCCCCAGGCTGCAGCCGCGGCGTCAGAACCCCAGCGGGGCCCGCGGTGTGCCCGCCCGCGGGGCCCCTGGCTCTGTGTGTCCGGCAGGCGCCGGGCGGGCGAGCGCCCTGGGGAGGGGTCTGCAGGGCCTGTGGGTCCCTCGGTCGGGATCCGGCCGGGCCGCGTGACTGACCCCCGCGAGCCCCGGCCCGTGCGGCCCCGGTGGGGAGGGGCCCGCCCTGCGTGCGGCCTCCCTGGGGTCGCGGCCCCCCGCTCCCGCCGCGGGCCGTGCGGTGCGGTGGGGGGCGCGTTGCGCCCCCGCAGCCCGCACCCCCCGCACCCCCCGCACCCCGGCCCGCGGGCCGCTTCCTGTCGGGGCGGGAAGTTGGGCCGGCGCCCCGGCCGGTCTCACATGAGCGGCGGGGCGGGGCGGGCGGGAGGGCAGGTGCCGGGCAGGGGCCCCGCGGGGCGGCCCGGGGACTCGGTGATGTCAGCTCCCGCCCCGCCCGCGGCCGCTTATGTAATGGCTCCCGGCTTCGCGGGACGCGACCTGTTGCGGGTGCAGGCGGCGGGACGTGAGTGCGCGCGCGTGTACATATGTGTACATGTGTGTGCGCGTGTGTGCTCATATGTGTACGTGAGTGTGCTCATGTGTGTGCATGTGTGCGCGTGAGTGTGTACATGTGTGTGGGTGCGTGAGTGTGTGCTCATGAATGTGTACGTGTGTACATGTGAGTGTGCATGTGTGCGCAAGTGACTACATGTTTGTACACGTGTGTGCACGTGTGTACATGAGTGTGAGTGTGTACATGTATGAGTGCATGTGTGTGCTCATGTGTGTGCATGTGCGCGCGAGTGTGTATGCATGTGTGTGTGAGTGGTTACGTGTGTACGTTTGTACATGTGAGTGCGTGTGAGAGTGTGCACGTGTGAGTTTGTGAATTTGCGGGTGCGGGTGACTGCACGTGTGTATAAATCTGTGTGCACATGTGAGGGTGACACGTGTGTGCATTTATGTGTGCGTGTGCGGGTGACTGCATGTGTGTGCGGGTGACTGAGTGTGGTGTGTGTACATGAGTGTGTGTGTCTCTGTGTGTGAGTGTGTGTGTGTGTGTGCACGCGCAGGTGGAGCGGGGGGGGGGCGGTGGGGAGTGGCCAGAACCTCAGGCCCCGCCCAGCCGGTGTCCCCAGGGGTCATCCTGGCTGTGGCCTTGGCCTTGGCGGGTCCCGGGGCTCTGGGTGGGCCTGCGACGCTCCCTGGCATGGTCTCCCCTGGGGGGGGGGCGGGAGCCCAGACGGGGTCAGTGCAGGGGGGGGCTGCGCCCCCCGCCAGGCCCGCCCACACCCCGGCGCCACGCAGACTGCCCGGAGCAGACGGGGCCGCCCTGACGGGGCGCCCTCCCGCCGCTGGGGTTCCCCTCGCGACACCTGCTTCAGGGCGAGACACTGGGAGCCCCGTGGGCGCCGGCCGAGCCCGCGGTGCCGCCGGTCCCGGCCCCTGGACGGGCACAGGCGCTCAGCCAGGCCTGGGCAGCCGCGCCGGCTCAGCCACGGCCCACCGGCTCTGGGGCGGGCGAGCGCCAGCCGTGGCCGATCCCTGCCCGAGCCTCGTGGCCCCCTTGCTGTGGCCGGCCGGGGCCGCCTCGGTGCGGGGAGCCGCAGGTGCCGTGCCGGCCTCCCGCCACCCTGCGGGCTCGTCTCCCTCCCACGGCCCAGGCCTGAGCACGGGCGGCCCTCAGGTCTCCCCCTGCAGGACCACCTGCCGTCCACCGCGGCCTGCAGGCCCCCGGGGGTGAGCCCGCCCCGGCTCACGCGGGGCTGCGCCGGCCTCGCCCGGTCAGGGCCGGGGACCCGCGGGGGCTTGGGCTTGGCCGCAGGGGCCGTGGGGCCTGGGCAGCGCGGCCTGGCCGCCCCGGGCGCCAGCGCCGGTCCCCAGGGCTGTGAGGCGCTGTCTGCCGAGTCAGCAGCTGTGGCGGGGTTGGCGGGGGCTGCCCGCCCCGAGCTGGACGGAGCTGGACGGAGCTGGACGGAGCGGGCGGAGCGGCGGAGCGGGCGGTCCGGGCCGCCACAGGCACGCGCGGAGGTGTGGACGCGGCCCGGCCCTCGTCAGACCAGGGCTCCCCAGGCGGGGAGGAGGGGGCGCTGAGGGCCATGCCCGGGGTCACCGGCGGGGCCGGCCCGGGAGGCCGTGGGAAAGCAGGCCCGGCCGCCCGGCGGGAGCCCCGCCCGGTGACTCACCCCTCCTCCTGCCCCGTCCCTTTGATGTCCCGGCTGCGCGTGGTCAGCCGGCCGTGCAGGCTGCCCCATTCTGGGGTGAGCAGACCCAGGCCAGAGCCCAGCCCCGGCCCTGGCGGCACCCCCAGGCATGGCGGCCTTGCGTGGGCCCCAGGCTCGGCCCAGTGTCCCCGCGGGAGCAGGGTACCCCCAGGGTGATGCGTGGGCCGGGAGCCCCTGGTGCCACCGCTGCCTGGGGGGCGGGGCCTCGGTCTCAGGGTCCCAGCCTGGGTGAGGGGGCGGGGCCTGGTCTCAGGGTCCCAGCCTGGGCGAGGGGGCGGGGCCTGGTCTCAGGGTCCCAGCCTGGGTGAGGGGGCGGGGCCTGGTCTCAGGTCTCAGCCTGGGTGAGGGGCAGGGCCTGGTCTCAGGGTCCCAGCCTGGGTGAGGGGCGGGGCCTGGTCTCAGGGTCCCAGCCCGGGCGAGGGGGCGGGGCCTGGTCTCAGGTCTCAGCCTGGGTGAGGGGCGGGGCCTGGTCTCAGGGTCCCAGCCTGGGCGAGGGGGCGGGGCCTGGCCTCAGGGTCCCAGCCTGGGTGAGGGGCGGGGCCTGGTCTCAGGGTCCCAGCCTGGGTGAGGGGGCGGGGCCTGGTCTCAGGTCTCAGCCTGGGTGAGGGGCAGGGCCTGGTCTCAGGGTCCCAGCCTGGGCGAGGGGGCGGGGCCTGAGCGCGCTGTCCCCCCCCCCGCAGGCACAGGACCCTTTGGAGCTGGCCTTGTCCCTAGAGCAGGCCCACCTGGGGGACACGGACTGCAGCCCGGAGCTCGAGGCCCGCCCCGGTGAGCGGCAGGGCGGGGGGTGGGCGAGAGCGGGGGGCGAGGCCGGGGGCGCCCTGCTGACCCCCTGCTGACCCCCGTCGGCCGTCGGCACAGACATGCCCGCCAGCCAGCCCATCGACATCCCGGACGCCAAGAAGAGGGGCAAGAAGAAGAAACGGGGCCGCGCCACCGACAGCTTCTCGGGCAGGTTCGAAGGTGAGCGCCGGTGCGTGAGTGTGAGTGTGCAGGGCGTGTGTGTGTGCACAGGGGGTGTGTGCGCCGGGTGATTGTGAGTGTGTGCACGGGGTGTGTGTGTGCAGTGTGTGTGCATGCCGGGTGATTGTGTGTGCACAGGGGTGTGCGTGCATACGGGTGTGTGTGTACAGGGGTGCATGAGTGTGCACAGTGTGTGTGCACGGGGTGTGTGTGTGCACAGGGGTGTGCGTGCCAGGTGATTGTGTGTGCACGGTGTGTGTGTGCAGTGTGTGTGCCAGGTGATTGTGAGTGTGTGCACGGGGTGTGTGTGTGTGCACGGGGGTGTGTGCATGCCGGGTGATTGTGTGTGCACAGGGGTGTGCGTGCATACGGGTGTGTGTGTACAGGGGTGCATGAGTGTGCAGTGTGTGTGCACGGGGTGTGTGTGTGCACGGTGTGTGTGTGCAGTGTGTGTGTGCCGGGTGATTGTGAGTGTGCACGGGGTGTGTGTGCACAGTGTGAGTGTGTGTGTGCGCCGGGTGTGCACTGGGGGCCCAGGCCCTCACGGCCCCGCTGCCCCCAGACGTCTACCAGCTGCAGGAGGACGTGCTGGGGGAGGGCGCCCACGCCCGCGTGCAGACTTGCGTCAACCTCATCACCAACCAGGAGTACGCGGTCAAGGTGAGGGCTGGCCCCCCCCGCCCAGGTGGCCAGGCTGGGGCTGGGGTCGGAGGCCGCGCGGGCCGGCTGCCCCAGGGTGAGCCCGGCAGAGGGGGCAGCACGGGCAGCAGGCCTGGGCCCACTGCTGCCCGCCCAGGCCCTGGCCCGCCCGGGCCCCGAGACCGCCCGCGCTCCCTCCAGGCTCCCTGGGAAACCGCACCTGGTGCTCCCTGGCACGAGGGCCTGGGCGTGGCCTGGGCAGCCCCCGCCCCCGGGCAGGAAGGCGTGGTCCCGGCCCGCACGGGTGGGGGTGCGGCCGGCGTCCTCCGCGCCCTCCTGGCCAGCGGCCTCGCTCTGTCCGTGTAGCGCGTGTAGGGAAACGGGCTGGGGGCCTCCTGGCTGCCTCTCCGGGAGGTGGCACCCGGGCCGGTGGGGCTCGGGGGCTCGGACCCCAGCTGGGACCCCGGGAGGCTCCCGCCAGCGGGGAGGGACCCTGCTGTGTCCCCAGGGGCTGGCTCGCGGCCCAGGCCGCCTCTGCCCTCCCTGGCACAGGTGTGTTTGTCACGGAACAGAACAGAGCGCCGGGCAGGGTGCCCTGGGCACGAGTGGCCGCCCAGCCAGGACGGGCTGGAATGTCCAGCCCGGGAAGCCAACCCCAGTGCGGCCTGGGAGTCAGCAGGCGCCTGCCCGGCGCTGTGGCCCGGGGCGGGACAGGACGGGGCCGCAGAGACCGAGGCTGGCTTCCCGGGGCGGCCGGGCAGCTCTCAGGGTCAGCCCCCGGGGGCGGGGGACGGCGGCTGCCCAGGCTGGCACAGAGCCAGGGGCAGGGCGGGGGCAGCAGCCGCAGGGCCAGAGCGAAGTGGCCGGGCTGGCCGCCAGGTGCCACGAGGCCGCCGGTTCCTGGGTCACGTGGGGCTGAGCCACCTGACTGCGGGGGGGGGCACAGAAGCCTCTGGACCCGCGGAGGGGTGGGCGCGCCTGCCGACGCCGCAGTTCTGGCCTCCAGCGAGCCCCGCGCCCCCTCGACCGCTGCCGAATGGAGGGCAAAGGTCGCGCTGAGTCTCCGGCCGGCCCCGGGCAGCCCGCTGACCGCCAGTGTCCCCCCCATCTGCCACTGTCCCCCGCTGACCGCCAGTGCCCCCAGCTGACCGCCGCTGTCCCCCCAGGACCACCAGTGTCCCCCGCTGACCACCAGTGCCCCCGCTGACCGCTGCTGTCCCCCCAGGACCACCAGTGTCCCCCGCTGACCAGTGTCCCCCGCCCGTGCAGATCATCGAGAAGCAGCCGGGCCACATCCGGAGCCGGGTCTTCCGGGAGGTGGAGATGCTGTACCAGTGCCAGGGACACAGGTGGGCCCCCCCCCACAGGGACACAGGGCGCCCCCCCCCAGGGACACAGGTAGGGGCGCCCCCCACCAGGCGGCACAGGTAGGGCGCTTGCCCCTCCCCCAGGGACACAGGGCGCCCTCGCCCCTCCCCCAGAGACAGAGGGCGCCCTCGCCCCTCCCCCAGGGACACAGGTAGGGGGCACCTCCCCGCCCAGGGACACAGGTAGGGCACCCCCTAGGCGGCACAGGTAGGGCGCTTGCCCCTCCCCCAGGGATACAGGTAGGCGCCCCCCAGGCGGTACAGGGCGCCCTCGCCCCTCCCCCAGGGACACAGGCAGGCCCCCCCAGGCGGCACGGGGGGGGGCAGGGCCTCAGGGGCCTCAACTCCTCCCCCAGAAACGTTCTGGAGCTGATCGAGTTCTTCGAGGAAGAGGACCGCTTCTACCTGGTGTTTGAGAAGATGCGGGGCGGTAGGCGGGGCCGGGGGGCGGTAGGTGGGGCCGGGGGCGTGGCGGGGGCGTGGCCGTCGGGGCGGGGGGGGGGGCGGGGCGCTGACCGCCGCGTCCCACAGGCTCCATCCTGAACCACATCCACCAGCGGCGGCACTTCAACGAGCTGGAGGCCAGCGTGGTGGTGCAGGACGTGGCCAGCGCCCTGGACTTCCTGCATAACAAAGGTGCGCGCCTCCGCTGCCCCGGGCCGCGCCCACGGGGCGTGGCCGCCGCGCCCTGACCCCGCCCCTCTGCCCGCCCCCAGGCATCGCCCACAGGGACCTGAAGCCCGAGAACATCCTGTGTGAGCACCCCGACCAGGTGAGCCGGCCGCAGGGTGGTGAGCCGCGCGCGGGCCTGCGTCCCGGCTCTCACCGCCCCGCCCCGCCCGCCCGCCCGCCAGGTGTCCCCCGTGAAGATCTGCGACTTCGACCTGGGCAGCGGCATCAAACTGAACGGGGACTGCTCGCCCATCTCCACCCCGGAGCTGCTCACCCCGGTGAGGGCCCGCGGCGCCGGGCTTCGGGGACCGTGCGGTTGCGCAACCCGCAGGTGCCCCGGCCGGTCCTGCCGCTCGGGCGCGGAGCTGGGGCTTCCGCTTAGCAACAGCGGCTGATTGGCCGGGCGGGGCGCGGGGCGGGGCGGGGGGCGGGGCGGGCCCACGGCAGCACCTGCCGACTGGGCGGGGCCGAGCAGGCTCGCAACAGCAGCTGCTGATTGGTCGGGCGGAGCAGAGGGGGCGGGGCGGGCCGGGCGGGTCCGTGGCACCTGCTGACGGGGCGGGGCGCTCCCTGGCTTCTGGTCTCTGATTGGCGGGGCACCGCGGCAGCCACTGACCCCGCCCGCGCGCGCTTGCGCAGTGCGGCTCGGCCGAGTACATGGCCCCGGAGGTGGTGGAGGCGTTCAGCGAGGAAGCGAGCATCTACGACAAGCGCTGCGACCTGTGGAGCCTGGGCGTCATCCTCTACATCCTGCTCAGCGGCTACCCGCCCTTCGTGGGCCGCTGCGGCAGCGACTGCGGCTGGGACCGCGGCGAGGCCTGCCCGGCCTGCCAGGTGCGCGGGGGCGGGGCAGTGATGGGGGCGGGGCTGGCGGCGGGGCGGGGGTGTGCGCGGGGGCGGAGCTGCGGGGCGGGGCGGGGCTGGCGGCGGGGCAGCGATGGGGCGGGGCGGGGCTGGGTCCATGTGGGGCGGGGGCTGGCGGCGGGGCGGGGGTCCGTGTGGGGGGCGGGGCAGGGGCGGGGCGGGGGTGGGGCAGGGGTGTGCGCGGGGGCGGGGCGGGCTGGCGGCGGGGCGGGGCGGGGCCCATGTGGGGGCCGGGCTGGCGGCGCGGCAGGGGTCCGCCCCGGCCGCTCAGCCCCGCCCTCTGCGCCCCCAGAGCATGTTGTTCGAGAGCATCCAGCAGGGCAAGTACGAGTTCCCCGACAAGGACTGGGCGCACATCTCGCTCGCCGCCAAAGACCTCATCTCCAGGCTGCTGGTGCGGGACGCCAAGCAGCGGCTGAGCGCCGCGCAGGTCCTGCAGCACCCGTGGGTGCAGGGGGTGAGGACGCGGGCGCGCGGGGCGGGGCGGGGCGGGGCGGGGCGGGCCGTGTGTCCTGCAGCCGCTGTCGCAGCCTGGCCTGGAGATGGGGGCAGGTGGGGGCTCGGCCTGGCCCTGGGGGGCAGGTGGGGGCGGGGGGGGGCTCGGCCTGGCCCTGGGACCCCGGGATGGGCCGCTGTCCACTGTTGCAGCCTGGCCTGGAGATGGGGGACAGGGTGGGGGCGGGGCCTGGCCTTGGGGGGCAGGTGGGGGCGGGGCGGGGGCTCAGCCTGGCCCTGGGACCCCGGGATGGCCCGCGGTCCACCAGCCTGGCCTGGAGATGGGGGACAGGATGGGGGCTCGGCCGGGCCCTGGGGGGCAGGTGGGGGCGGGGCGGGGCCTGGCCCTGGGGGCAGGTGGGGGCGGGGCGGGGGCTCGGCCTGGCCCTGGGACCCCGGGGTGCGCCGCGGCCCGCTGTCGAGCCCCTCCCGTCTCCTTGCAGTGCGCCCCCGAGAACACCCTGCCCACGCCCATGGTCCTGCAGAGGTGAGAGCCGCTCTGGGCCGCAGGGGCTGGGGGCGTGGCGGGGCGGGGGGGGGGCCGCAGGGGCTGGGGGCGTGGTGGGGCGGGGCCTCCGGGGGCCCTCCCTGAGCGCCGCCCCGCCCCGCCCCCGCAGGAACAGCTGTGCCAAAGATCTCACGTCGTTCGCGGCCGAGGCCATGGCGGTGAACCGGCAGCTGGCCCAGCGCGAGGACGCGGCCGAGGCGGCCCCGCCCGTGGTCATCCGAGCTACCTCACGCTGCCTGCCGCTGTCGCCGCCCTCCGAGTCCCAGCTGGCCCAGCGGCGGCAGCGCGCCAGCCCGGCGGCCGGCGTGGTGCTGGTGGGCGACCGCGGCTGAGCCGAGCTGCGGGCCGGCGGTGTGTGTTTGTAGGATTTTGCTGTTGGGTTTGCCCCTTTTCCCGTTTCTCCCCGCCTCGCACCCCGTTTCCCCTTTCCACGGTGTCAAAGCCAGCCGCGCCGGCGAGAGCAAGGGCGCCTACTGTGAAGCCCCGCCCCCGGCCGCCCCGGCCGCCCCCAGGTGGATGGGACGGTGGCCCCCGGCCTGGTCGGGGCGGCGCCCCCGCTGCCCGCCCTCAGCCCCCGGCCGCCTGGTCCCGGGAGAGTTGACAATCCAGGCTTCCTCCGAGGCCCCTGACCTTGACCTTGACCTTAAACTGCAGCTGACCTTGGGGACTCCCACCCCCACCCTGCCTGGGGCCGCCCCGCGGTGGAGGGGGTGGACAGCCGCCTGTCAGCGACACGGGGGCCCCGCAGTGCCCCTTCTCAGGGCTCCGTCTGACCGCGGCCACGTCCGGCCCGGGCCCCACGGGCAGCTGCGCGCTGTCCACCTTCAGGAAAATCGGCCTCGGCCTGGGCCGCCCCGGGAGTGCAGGGCCCCCCAGCCGGGGCGGCCGGCCGCGGACCGCGGTGAAAACTATGCAATCCGAGCTCCCCGCTGCGCGTGCGCGGTCCGGGTCGGCCGTCGTGTTTAGTTTTAAAAAAAAAACACCAACAAAAAAAAAAAGCAAAACCAGGAGACCTGGGCTGACTTGGCGTCCCTGTTGTCGGTACTTGAGCGTCGGCGGGCCTGGCCGGCGGCCCGCGGAGCCGGGCGGAGGAGGCCGAGGGTCGGACGCCCGGCACGGCGGGGACCGAGCACTTTACCGCGCGGGCTTTTGTATCCGTTTTGTACGCATTTAATAAAAGTCAACGCAAACCTGCGGGGCCCTGGTGGCTGAGCCGCAGCTTCGGTGAGAGCCCCGGGTTTACCCGGACCCCAGCGCCCCCACGTGCGCGTCGCCTGGCCCCGCCTAGGGCTGGACTGCCCCCCAGCCAAGTTCAGGTGCAGCCTCCTGGGGGCCCCCAGTGCCCGTTCCCTGCCCCCCCCCCGTCCTGGGCCAGCCTCAGTCGCCTCACCTGTAGGCTGGGCACGTGGCACCGGAAGTTCCCACCACGGGGAGGGGCGTGTTCCAGACTGTTCTGTACCTGGCACCCCAGGGGTTGGGGGGCTTCACTGGCTCCCTGGCCATGCCCTGTGGAGGCTGGGGTCTCGGGGGTCCCTGTCCCTGTGGTTCTGTGGGTTGGAGGAATCCTATAGCCAGAGGCACCTGGGAAGCAGGTCCAGAGAGGCCATCGGTGCCCCTGGACAGGGCGTGGGGGCCAGCAACACACGGTGGGGGGGCACCGTGTGCCTCAGTTACCCGTCAGAGAACAGCTGGTCTGGGCGGGTGTAGACAGCAGTGCCCGGGAACCCAGGTCACCTGGCTCACGGCCCCCTGCCCCGTTGTCCTGCCGGGCCCCCACAGCATCGGGCAGGCCCGGGTGCCGGCCCCGCAGCCCAGCCTGGAGCAGCCGCCCGGCCCTCCCCTGCTCCCTCTCCGCTGCCTGGGGACGCCCCAGCCTGGCTGTGGCTGAGCGTCCACCCTGCACGTGGCCAAGGAGACCCGCGGTTCCTTCACCCGCGAGGGTGAGCGCAGCACCGGCTCCTGCTGGCCCCAGGGCTCTGCCCCGCCTGGCGTGTGCGTGCCCGTGCGTGCGTGCATGTGCAAGGCCACACGGGGAGCCGCATGCCCAGGCGGCGCCGTCCCAGGTGGCAGCAGGCCTGGCCGCTGACCGCCCCGTGGCCCCTGCTGCGTGCCAGGGACAGTCTGTCCTCCGAGCAGCGGCTCTGGGCTTTATTTCTGCGGTTTCCTGTCCGATCCCGCCCTCCCCACACCTCGCTTCCCCGGCAGGAAAATCCCGGAGCGGGCGGGGCGCGGGGCCGGATCTCGGCCCCGCCCCTGGGCAGCCGGTGTGAGATGAGGGCCGGGCCGGGCGAGGGGAGCCCTGTGCCACCTTCTGAGCCCAGAAATGGGTTTTATTTAAAAGCTACAAGGAGAGACTTGGACCAGAAGGCCAGGGCTAGGGTGACCACTCCTGGGGCTGGGGGTGACGGGTCGTTCTACAGCGAGGTGACCTGCCCCGACCTTGTGAATGCGCTAAAAGCCATCGGTGCTCCCTTTGCCACCTGCACTGCCCCCGATGGAGATCAGAGGGGCGGACGGAGGGCAGGCGGGGGCGGGGCAGGGAGCCCCCCAGCCCCCCCCCCACTGAAACTCAACTTCACGTGGAATTAGGGCAACAACAGCCAAGCCCAGCCCTGCCTCAGTTTCCCCTCTGGGTATGGCCGACACCTTGGACAATGACAGCGGGCAGCAGCGTCCCCAGGGGTCTCGCCTGAAGACCCCGGGGGGGGGCGGGAAGTGCCTGACCTGGGCGAGGAGGGTCCCCATGCCGTGGGATTCACAGACAGCTGGGGGTGTCCCGCGGCCAGCATGTTACCTGCACGCCGAAAGCGTCACCCCTCAGGTGCACAGGTTCGGCCAGTCCCGCCCTGAGGTCAGCGGCCACCCCGATGCTGCAGCCCTGCCCCCTGGGGTGGAGGACCCCGCTCCCGACCCCTCCCAGTGCAGCTGGGAGGGGGGAGGGGGGAGGCGGGGGGGGGCAGGCGCTGGGCCCAGAATGCGGCTCCGCGGCCTGCCGGGTCGGACCTTCCCAGGAGCTGCCCCTGCTGGCTGCACCCCCAGGGCCCTGCTGACCCCCAGGCTGCGTCCCGGGCGCGCCCGTGCACCCGCGTCTCCTTGTGCACACCGGGAGGCAGCCGTGAGGGCCCTGCGCCCACAGGGGAGGCCCAGGTGGAGCTCCGGGCTCCTGGCGCCAGCCTGGCCCAGCCCCGGCCGCAGCAGCCGTTTAGGGAGCGAACCAGCGGGCACATCTTTCCCTCTCCAAGTGTCTCAAATAAATAAATCAATTTTAAAAAAAAGTATTTCCGTCACTTGTTACCCAGTCCTGCTGTTCAGAGCCAGCGGGAGCACCCCAGGCAGCACGCAAATGAGGGGCGTGGCCTTCGTGGCGGTATGCAAACGAGGGGCGTGGACACTGCCGCAGGTGGAGGCGGTCCCGAGAGCGCTGGGCTCCCAGGCGGCCCCACCAGCGATGGGGACGCGATCCGAGGGGTCGCCCATCCTTGCGTCCCCGAGAACGGCTGGCTCTGCGCGAGGGCGCTTCCCACGCCGTGCGTGGCGGGGCAGGGGCAGGGGCGCGGGCGCCAGTCCTGGCCGGCGCTGAGTGAAGCTGCCCCCCCACCCGAGTGGAGAAGCGCCCGGGAGGCAGAGGAGGCGCTGGCCCCCGCGAGTCCCCCAGCGGCACCGCCCACACTCGCGCGGCTCCCGGGGAGCAGGCCAGCGGTGGGGCCGGCGCACCCCGGGGTCCCAGCCCCCGCTCATGCGCACCCCAGTCCCAGCCCCTGCTCAAGAGCACCCCGGGGTCCCAGCGCCACTCCCCGCTCATGCACACCCTGGGGGGCAGCGGTGACCGGTGAGCGCCCTGCACCCCCCCACCGGAAACCCCACAGGGCTCCTGGCCCCAGCCCGGCCCAGCCCTGGCTGCTGGCATCTGGGGAGTGGACCCGCAGAGGGAAGACCCCTCTCCGTCACTCGCCTCTCAAATAAATACAGCAAAGCCTTAAAAATAAAAATACGAAGAGTGGGCGAGACTGGGGGGGATGCGGGGCAGAATGAAGCGTGTGGCGGGGGAGGGGCCGGCCCGATGAGCCGCGTGGGAGGCGCTCCCGGAGCCCCACCTTAGGCTCTCCTAGCTCCGACCTGCGCGCGCGGTCCGTGTTTTGGGGTCCCCTAGACCCGGAGTCCTGGGTCACCGGAGTGTCCCCTGCTGGCGCCCGGCGCCCTCGAGGGTCCTCGTCTGTGTAGGCGTCCCCTGCGCGGGGCAGTCGGACACGGATCCAGGATCCAGGGCCTGACCCGGAGTCCGCGTGCGCAGCTTAGGGCGGGGGTCGCGGGTCTGAGGCGAGGGGCTCACCGTCTGCGGTCTGGGGCTCAGGAGTCACGACCTGGGTTAGGGGTTCGGGTCCAGTGTGTGATGCTGGCGCCGGGGTCCGGGGCTCAGAACCGAAGCCCCCTCTCCACAACCCGCCCCGCCCCCCGAACTCTCCACTCCCCCGCCCCGCCCCTCATCCTGTCCCCTCCCATCGGCCCCGCCCACCAAGCTCCGCCCAAGGCCCGCCCACTGGGCTGCGCTCCGTCCCGACTCTCACTTCCCGTGCAGCCTCCCTGGCCCCGCCCCCGGCCCGCCTCCTGTTCCCTCCCATCGGCCCCGCCCACCAAGCTCCGCCCAAGGCCCGCCCGCCGGGCTCCGCCCCGTCCCCAGACTCCCACTTCCCGTGCAGCCTCCCAGGCCCCGCCCCCGGCCCCGCCTCCTGTCCCCGCCCTGCCGCCTCCATCGGCCTCGCCCCCAGGCTCCTCCCCAGGACCGCCCGCCGGGCTGCGCTCCGTCCCCAGACTCCCACTTCCCGTGCAGCCTCCTGTCCCCGCCCCCGGCCCCGCCTCCTGGCCCCGCCCTCCCGCCTCCCATCGGCCCCTCGCGGCCCCGCCCACAAGGCCCCGCCCCCGCGCCGCAGCGACAAGATGGCGGCGGGAGGCAGCGGCGGGCGCGCGTCGTGCCCGCCGGGGGTCGGCCCGGGCGCGGGGGGCGCCCCGGGGCCCAGCGCCAACGCCGCCGCGCCCGCCCCGGGCAACGCGGCCGCCGCCGCCGCTGCCGCCGCCGCCGCCGCTGCCGCCGCCGCCGCCGCCGCCTCCGCGCCCGGGCCGGCCCCCGCCGCCGCCGCCGCCGCCGCCGCCGCGCCGGGCCCCGGGGCGGACGCGCAGGCCGCGGGCGCCGAGCGCGAGGAGGCGGCGGGGGCGCTGCTGCGCGAGCCCGCGTACAACTGGCAGGCGTCGAAGCCCACGGTGCAGGAGCGCTTCGCCTTCCTCTTCAACAACGAGGTGCTGTGCGACGTGCACTTCCTGGTGGGGAAGGGGCTCGGCGCGCAGCGCGTCCCGGCGCACAGGTGGGCGCGCGGCCCGCGCCGCAGGCTCCCTCCCCGTCGCGAGGCCGCCCTCCGGGAGCGCGGGGGGCGTCGGCTCGGGAGCAGCCCCTCCCGGGGCCCCCGCGGTGGGGCCCGGGCTGGGGGCGCGGGGTCCCCTCCCCGGGGCGTCCCTGCCCGCGTCAGGGTCCTCGGGCGCCGGCCTGCCGTGCGTCGGGTCACCGCGCGCTGCTCCGTCATCCTGGGAGCCGGGCCGTCCCCCGCGCGACGCCCGGAGCCAGCGCCGGCGGGGTCCAGCCGGGGTCAGGGGCTCGGATCTCGGGGTGTGAGTGGGGGGCGGCTGCTGGGCCCCCAGGCTGACCTTGGCTTGGGGGCCCTCGGAGGGCGGGGGACCACGGTGGGGACAGGTGTTTCGGCCGCAGTGGAGGGGGCCTGGGGTCCAGGCGCGGCCGCCTGAGCAGCAGTGAGGGGCGCCTGGCCTGGCCCCGGGGGCTTTGAGGTGCAGGGGGAGGCCTGGGGGCGTCCGGGGGGCCGCGCAGGTCCCGGCTTCCGTGGAGCCGCCGCCATGGTCTCGGGTGTGTGGCTGAGCGCCCCCGTGGGGGCCGGTGCAGGACTGGGGGGCCCAGCCTGCCGTGCCTCAGTTTCCACTCCTGTGCAGTGGGTCCCTCAGTGCGTCCCTCCCCAGTCTGCTGGGACGCCCTGGCCCAACACAGGGGTCCTGGGCTCTCCGCTCCCCGCAGGGTGGGCTGGGCCGCGCTACTCCCTGGGAACACAGGGCAGCCCCCCGAGGTGCGCTGGGTGTGGGGTCGGCCCTGGCCTCCGGGCCCCCCACCCCCGCGTCCACACCCGAGGGTCCCCAGGGTGCGGCTGGCGCTGTTTGCAGGTGGGGCAGCGGCGCCCCCTGTGGCAGCGTCCGGGTCAGACAGGAGTGGGCTGGGGGCAGCGGAGAATCCCCCCCACAAGGCTGGGCTCCGGGACCCCAGAGAGGCGGGGAGGCCACGGCCCTGCCCACGCGCCGCCCCGGCCTTCCTCACGGCCGCCCCCGGTAGCGGCCACCGGGGTCCTGCGGGGTCCTGGCGGGGGTCCTGGCGGGGTCCTGCGGGGGTCCTGCAGGGTCCTGGCGGGGGTCCTGGCGGGGTCCTGGCGGGGGTCCTGGTGGGGGGGTCCTGGTGGGGTCCTGGGGCGTCCTGGGGCCCTGGGCGAGGATGTTGGGTCGGGATGAGGCCTGAGTGCCCGTGCGCGGGAGGCGGCGCCAGGCCTGGTCCCCCCACGGCCGCTGTGGGAGGCGGAGCCTGGGGCTCGTGGGTCCCGGTGGGGCGGTCCCAGTAGCTGAGCGCGGGCAGCTCCCCTGCGCTGGACTGGGCGGCGCTGCCGCCACTCACCCCTGGGTGCGCCGGCATCAGCAGAGGCGCGCGCTTTCGTTCCAATAAAACTTTACTTGTGAAGGCCAGCAGGCCGAGCCGCCCGGGCATCCCGGTGGGCACCGGCTCGAGTCCGGGAGTCCCGGCTGCTCCGCTTCTAATCCGGCTTCTTGCCGGCGGGCCTGGGAGGCAGCAGATGAGGGCTCAGGCCCCCGGGCAGCCCGGACGGAGCCCCGGCCCCTGGCCCAGCCCAGCTGCTGCGGGCAGTTGGGAGTGAGCCAGCGGTGGACGCTGTGTCCTGCGACTCTGGCGGCCGCTGTGCTGGGCGGCTGGCGCTCCCCGGGGTCGTGGCGTGTGCGTGCCCCTGCCGGGCTTTTCCCGGAGGCAGACACGGCTCCCGCGGGCTGGGCTGGGGGCTCAGCCCAGGCCTCCCCGGGGCGTCAGGGGCCCCAGCGCCATCCGCCTTGGCGGGCAGCTGGGGTCAGGAGCGGGCGTGCGGCCACTTGGTTCGTTTGCCTGGAAGGCGGGTTAGGAGGAGGCAGGCGGCCGCGCTGGGCCGGCTGGGCCGCCGATGCCCCACACCGGACTCGGTGCAGGTCGCTGGGTTCGGGTCTCCGTGGCCGCGGGGCCGGTCGGGGCCGGTGGTGACTACGGTCTGGCCGGCAGGCGGCTGTCCGCGGTGAGGGCGGCGTGACCGTGCTGGTCACCGCACGCTTTGAACCCGGCGACACCCGGCGCCCCCGCCTGGTGCCGCTCCGCGGGCCCCCCCCACGCCCCGGCCAGGGCTCCCCCGCGGGTGCAGGGGCCCAGCACGTGGCCATCTCCGCTGGTGCCAGGTGGAGGCTTAGCCCGCTGCGCCACAGCGCCGCCCGCAAATCCGTCAGCCTCGACGCAAACGGGCCGCGGGGGAGGCCCCGCCTGCAGGCCCGCACCCCACGTGGGCGCGGGTTCGAGTCCCGGCTGCTCCACTTCCGGTCTGGCTCCCTGCTGTGGCCTGGGAGGGCAGTGGACGATGGCCCGGTGCTCGGGCCCTGCACCCGCGTGGGGGACCCGGATGGGGCTCCTGGCTCCGGTCACTGAGGCCATAGAGTGCCCCGGCGGATGGGAGCCGCCCGCCCGCCCTCCCTCCCTCCCTCCCTCCCTCCCACTCTGACTTCTTCAAATGAGTAGAATAAGTATTCAAAAGTGGAAACGCACGCTCTGAGGTGGCCGGGCCTCCCCGCGCGGGCCGGGGGCTCTGGGCGCCTGCGTGGAGGCGGCTGACGGTCCTCGGACGGGCGTGTCCACGAGGGCCTGAAGAGCCCTGTGCGCGTGGGTTTCCGCCCGCACACGCGTGTCCACACGCGGGGGCGCTCGGGGCTCTCCGGGTCCTCACCGCACAGAGCCGCCCCGTCCCAGGGTCTCCGGAGGCGGACGGGCGGGGCGGGGCGGGGGTGGGAGCCCGGCTCTGCGGGCGGCGGGCGGCCCAGGTATTGAGGTGGAGACCCGGAGGCGGCAGGGCTGCCCCCGGCACCTTGGCTTTGCTGCTGGGTTTATTTGAAAGGCACGGGTACAGAGGGGGAGGGGCTCTCCCAGCTGCTGGTTCGCCCCAAACGGCTGCAGCGGCTGGGCTGGAGCCGGGAGCCAGGAGCTCCGTGTGGGTCCCCCATGCGGGTGCAGGGCCCAGCACTGGGCCATCGTCCACTGCCCTCCCAGGCCACAGCAGGGAGCTGGATCGGGAGTGGAGCAGCCGGGACTCGAACCCGCGCCCACGTGGGGTGCGGGCCTGCAGGCAACGTTTCCCTGCTGTGCCACAGTCACCCCCACCTCCTCGCTCTAAAAGGAGACTTCCCTGGAAGGGCCTCCAGCCCCTGGCAGCCACAGGTCCCCCTCCCGTCCCCGTGGAGCCCCCCCCCCGTCCCGGCCATGTCCCGCCCCCGTGGAGCCCCCCCCCCCGTCCCGGCCGTGTCCCGCCCCCGTGGAGCCCCCCCCTCCTGGCCGTGTCCCGCCCCCGTGGAGCCCCGCCCTGCACGTGTCGTTGGTGGAGCCCCCCCCCGTCCTGGCCGCGGCCTGCGTGTCCCCGGGTTGACGTCCTCGGGGCCTGCACGCGTGGCGAGTGGCCGCCCTGAATCCACCCAGCGTCCGTGGTCAGCGCAGCGGCGCCCACCTCTGGCTGCTGTGCGGTGCACGCCGCACCCGGGGAGGGGGCAGGCGGAGGGGCCTGGGGGCGGCTGGCCACCGAGAGCCGCGAGGGTGCGGAGGACCCCTGGGCAGGTGTGGGGGGGGGGAGGGTGGGGCCGCGCCCCCGGGTCTCTCCTGGGGGGGTGGCCTGTGCGTCTCGGTGGGGGAGGGGCTCTGCGTGGCTGCTGAGCATGGGGGGGGCCAGGCCGGGGCCGTGGACGAGGCCGAGCTGCGTCCCCCAGCAGTGGGGGCGGTGCAGGGCCTTGCAGGCTGGGGGGGCTGCTCCCGGGGTCGGGTGGGGCCCGCCCCGCCCCGCCCCGCCCCGCCCCGCCCCGCTCCCGAGGCCACCGCCCGCCTGGCCGTCGCTCCCGCCCCGCACCTCAGCCCGCGGCCCCCCCACAGCCTGGGGAGTCCGTCAGGGCGGGGGGGGCGGCCCGGGTCTCCCTGCCCCCACCCTCTGCGGTCCGGGTGCTGGGCGGGGCGGCCGCTGGGCTGGCGCAGGCTGAGGGCGGGCGTCTCTCTGCCTCAGGTTCGTGCTGGCCGTGGGCAGCGCCGTCTTTGACGCCATGTTCAACGGGGGCATGGCCACCACGTCCACGGAGATCGAGCTGCCCGACGTCGAGCCCGCCGCCTTCCTGGCGCTGCTCAAGTGAGGCCTGGCGGTGTGTCGGGGGGGGGGCCTCCGTCCAGCGGTCACTGCCCAGATGGCCGCAGCGGCCTGGGTCGGGCCGGGCTGAAGCCAGGAGCGTCCTCCGGGTCGCCCACGCGGGTGCAGGGACCTGAGGACCGGGGCCATCGTCCACTGCTCTCCCAGGCCACAGCCGGGACTCGAACCTGCGCCCCGCGGGACGAGGGCCCGCCTCCTGGCTTCTTAGTTGGCCCGGGGCGGCGCGGTGGGGATCCCGCGGGGCTGGGCTGCCGGGGCGGGCGCGCCATTCCCTGGGGTGGGGGAACCCAGCCCTCGACACGGATTCCAGGAGGTTCCTGGCGCAGTTGCGGCCGGGGTGGGTGCTGCGCCTCAGAGCCCGCGCCGCCCGCCCGCAGGTTCCTGTACTCGGATGAGGTGCAGATCGGGCCCGAGACGGTCATGACCACGCTGTACACGGCCAAGAAGTACGCGGTGCCGGCGCTGGAGGCGCACTGCGTGGACTTCCTCAAGAAGAACCTGAGGGCCGACAACGCCTTCATGCTGCTCACGCAGGTGCCGGGGGCGGGGCGGGGCGGGTGCCGGGGGCGGGGCAGGGCAGGTGCGCGGGGCGGGGCGGCGCACGCGGGGGCGGGGCAGGGCAGGTGCGCGGGGCGGGGCTGACGGCCGCTCGCTGCCCCCAGGCCCGCCTGTTCGACGAGCCGCAGCTGGCCAGCCTGTGTCTGGAGAGCATCGACAAGCACACGGCCGACGCCATCGCCGCCGAGGGCTTCACGGACATCGACCTGGGTGCGCGGGCGGGGCGGGGCCCGGGGGCGGGGCGGGGCGTGGGAGTGGGCGGGGCCGAATAGAGGGACATCGACTGGGTGTGCGGGCGGGGCGGGGACGGGGGCGGGGCGGGGCCGAGCGGCCGGGGC